ACTGCCCATCACAAGTGCCACTCTGAGAACAGGAAGGGATTTAGAGGGGACAGCAGGTGGACAAGGGGAGTTGGGCAACAGTGGCAGAACATAAATGTCTCCGAAGTTCTACTGGAGTGCATCTTTTCTGTCTTTGATATGGTAGTGCCTTATCCTGTTTCCATAATCGTAACAAAACTGCAAACACAAGATCTTTTTTCCTCCTTCTCTCCTCACACTCCCTAATGGAGGCCCTTCCCATATTTCCCCCCCCCCCATATGAGAAATTTGCAGGGTGAAATTTGCAGAAATTTGAGTGTGAGACCATGCTGGAAATCAGTAAAGGCAGAGTCAACACCCAAGATGAGTGGAAGAGGGCACATGGAAGGGACACAATATGGTTAAGCAGTAGAACAGGGATATTTCAGAATAGGTATGCATTGACAAGAGCCACATCCTGCCAGAGCCTTCCAGGGGACTGCTGTGTGTTACTTGGCAGGAGCAAAAGTGCTTCTTTTATTTTGCTATTGTGAGTTAGAGGAAAATAAGCATTCATGGAATAAACATAGACTTACGCTGTTCAAGGCAAAAGGCAAAAAAAAAAAAAAAAAATGTTCCTTAAGAAATGCTTCACCTGCTAACCTGAGAAGTTTCACGAGGAGTTGTCCAGTCTGGTATCCTAGTAATAAGTGACTAGCTCATCAGTGTTTATTCTCACGTAGTTTGTTTCTTTTCTGCTGCTGGTTTTTAGAGTCATTTTCTCTTTTGTTTTTCTAGTCACTGATTTTTATGTGATTTATCACGGTTGGTATGCCTACTGCCCACAACAGTTTTTTTTACTCTCTTGCAATCAAATCTTGCAGTGAGGCCATGCCATGCTTACAAAGGAGTTTCCAAGCATCAGCTACCATGGAAATACGATCTACACTGGTGCAACAGACAAGGGTTCAAGACAGATGTGAAGTAGTCATATCATGGTCATTGTAAACCTCCCAGTGGACTTCTGCCACAGCACAGCAAGACAGACTGTGCACAAGGAGTTGGAGTTTCAACTCTAGGTGAGAGGTATCACATAGCAACAGAAAATTAGATTAGTGTCATGACTGCTTTGTTGTAACTCAGATTTCCTGCTGTAAAACATGCTTCTCGGTCTATAGGGACCCTTCCATCTTGTCTCCTTAAATATTCTTAAAAGATGCAGTGCCAATTCTTCAGTTCCCTCAGGCTTTCCTGTCTCATGGCTAGACATTTGCCTCTCAGCCTAATGGACATTTCTCCCTTACCCAGCTCTCTCTTTCCAGACCTCTCTTTCCAGACCCGCAAGGCAGACCTTGGCCATGCACGATAGAGATGTTTCTCCTGCTGCAACTGAACAGCTTGGTCAGCTTCATGCCGAGCCAGCACCTCTAAGGACTTCCAGGGTTGGAGGTGTCGCCCCAAGGTGCTATATATCCAGGTGGCTTCAGCCACCCAAGGTCATAACCATCTATGATTTTATTCTTGCATGTTGGCATGCCATGGCTTGGCATGTCAAAGACACATTCACAAAGATGAGCAGATTTGATTCACTGAATGCAATAGATCTGTTTTATATGTCATTGTAATGTGGGTTTGACAAAGTTTGTAAAATGTTAAGATACACCTGGAAGTTGGGCTGCTCTCAGTTCTCTTTCTGAGCAGAAAAATACATCAAGATTTTGGTGTATGCTTAAGGCTTTTTAGTATATGGCAGCAGGAAGCTTTTGGATCTCATTGTTTTATTAGATGTGATATTTTTAGACCTTCATTCTTGGTGAAATCAATGCACAGCAGCTTTCTGGAAATAAAATAATTTAACATCACTTTCAGCTTAGTATCACTTTACTTTGACAAATATTCCAAGTAAGAAGTAGAAAAAATAAATTTCAAGGGTGTTTTCCCTTCCAGGGAAGGATTTCAATGTTTAACAGATGATGTTCCCTAAATCTGAAGTAATAGGAGCCTGACATTTTTATGTTCCTTGCAGTGTACCTAACTCAAACATGCCCTAACAGTGAGTGATGCTTTCCAGTATTTTCCAGAGCACTGACAGTTAAATAGCAAGTGAGAAAACCCGAGGCATTGTTTGTGTCACCATTTGCAAGCACTTAACTTAATAAGCCACAGGAGCCATTAGCATGGTGGGAAGTTTTGGTAGGAAAATCCCAGGGGCTAAAGTAAAACCCACTAGAGTGAGTGGGACTGGCTTCAATGGCTTTTACATCCCAGTGACAAATGAGCTGTCTGTTCAGAAGCTTGAAGCTAGCCCCATTTGCACAAAGGTACGGTCCTGGATGCTGCATGCTCCTCTGCTGCCACTGCAGCGGCGTGGCGGAACCAGGTTGGAAAGTCAGCCTGGTCTGTGCCTGGGGGACAGGGTGACGGAAAGTCCCAGTCGGTCTGGAACTGGGCAGCGTGGATTTCTTCTCCACTCGACACCCTGGCTGCCAGCACATCATTGACCCAGCTCCAGGCCTGGCGTGAGCAGCAGGGTGACATTGCAGAATAATGACTTACATTCTCTTCCAGAGCTGGGTGGGAAAGCAACTCTTTGTTTTTATCCTTTTTCAGTGTGGCATGAGCTGCACAGAGCATTTAGTTGCTTGTTCAACCACAGTCTACTTCTTGAGAGCAACCACGTCAAGCCTCAGCATAGAGGTTATTGGACCTATATGAGATAATGGGGAGCCCAGGGAGGCTCAGACACTCCACCTGAAAAGAGTGTTCAGTGCAGTGGGCTGCATGTGGACTTTTGTCAAAAACTGGGGCTTTCTCAGGGACAAATGCCTACCTGCCTCACTGTACTGCTTCCTGACGTTGCTAATTTTAACATACCCAAAAATGATAGCAACAGAATATTCTGTTTGGCATATTTAGTTTCTCAACAACATAGTTGGGAAAAAAAAAAAAATACTGGAAAATTGGAAGCTTTCAATTGCAACTTTGAACAACTCTAGGAGATCTTTCCTGTCAGCTCCATTGTTCCCACATTGGACTTTTCTGCTACAGGCCTGGTGAGGATGCTGTCATCATCTTTTGTCCTTGACTGTAGAACCCATGACTTGCAGTGTTCCCGTCTATGATGTTCTCCCAAGGCAGCCTGTAATGAAGAAAATACATGCTCAAGCTGGAACAAAGTCCACCGCTGTCTCACTAGCTAGGAGGTTGAACACAACATGCACAGTTTCAGCAGTGAGTGATTGAGTTTGAAAGATTGTCTTGGTTTCTGCAGAAACCAGCTCAGCAGAGCTGCTCCATGCAGAGGGCAGTCTCTGTAACAATGTGGATAGTCCTGCAAATAAAATGATGCCGTTTTCTGGGAACAGATACAAGGAAGGCATAAAAGACAGTAGTCCTTTGCATGGGTTTCAAGTATTCCTTTCTAGGACTGCTGAAATCCAAAAGAGCTGCAGACAAAAGCTATGAAGTGGATTAATGTGTTTGATGCCACCTCGGCGTGGGAGAGTTTCATCCTTGTGCTGTAAAATTGCTGCCAGCCCCTGACAAAGTCATTTGACCAAAGACATCAGTGCTTTGTACTGGCAGCTGGCAGTTCGCCTCACAGCTTCTTTCCCATTGCAAGCTTTGTTGGTTGGCAAAGTGATAGGCATTGAGTGGCACTGTGGCACAGTCCGTTGCAAGCAAGCTCATTTTAGGGATGTTTTTTGAGACGTAGAAAGCCTGTGTGTGGTTGCCTGGTTGGCAACCAGCGTCTGCAGCCTGGCACACCTTGCATGTTTGCAAAGCCCTTTGGAAAATGTTCTTGTGTTTGATCTAGGTGGGTTTGGTATCCAAACAGAAAGGTGTCTGCACAGCTTACAGCCGCCACTGTCCAAGTTGGAAATAGATGGCATCTTCTTGGCAGGCACGGCAAAATGTCTGTGTGCTGTGGAAACTGACTGTAACCAGCTGCTAGACCTGCAGAGAACGTCACTGCAGGAAAAAAAACAGAGGCAGTATGTTAACAAATAAATACCACAGTGACAGGAGAACCTGTCTGAAAACAGCGCTTACTGGCTAGTGCTGGGAGACCCTTATTGCTGCTGCTTGCAATAAGCCTGCCTGCTGATGATAAGACTTTGGTTTCCACCTCAGTCAAGCATGTCAGCCTGGAAAATCTCAGGAGCACCATCTTCATTCTGACATGATTGGTGTTGTAAGGGCTTCCCCAGCAGTGCTTATATTTAAACTCTCTTTAACCTTGAGAGGAGTTAGCATCTTCGTTTAACTCAGTACTCCCAATAAAGTGCAAGGCACTTGATTTCATTTCTGCATTGAACTCTGAATTTTATTCTGGGCTTTATTCCCCTCAGAGCTTTGTAAAGCAGAGAAAGGAGGGGGAAGCATTTTAATCAGGGTAAGACTCTTTGGCATTTACACTATTGAAGCCCGAGGAGACTCTGAATTTCTATTGAATAGAGCCCTAAGAAAAGAAGTAGATCTGTTGAAGGACGGCATTTCAGTGCAAGAAGGATGTGTGTTTAGGACTTTCCATTACATAATGGGGCTGAAATGGATTAACAAGACCCAGGCTTTCTTTTTCTTGAGAATTGCTGCCTGCACCACTCTTTTTCTATTACTGATGCTTCAGTCACAGCACTCACAGAAAGGTTTTCTTTGTTGTTATTAGTTTGAGAAGTAAATTGCAGCATTGTTCCTCCTGATCAAGAGATTGATTAGTCAGAGGTCTCTAGCTGAAGGGAAAAAATGTTCCTCATTATCAACTTTAAATGCAAATGTATTTGCCAAGCAGAGTTTCAGATGGTGAGTGTGGGGGGGAATGCCTTGCTCTTTTGATGTGCTGCCCATAACCATTTACAGATCTTTGAAAGACGTCCCTCTCATCAGGTCAGTGAAGAAATAGTGTGGGAACGATATTCTTGAAAAAGAAAATTAACCGTTGCCACTTCCAATTGGATGGTTCTCATAGTGTTTAGACAAGTTACGGTGCATTAGTATATTTGTGGGTTTTGTTGTGTTTTGTCCACTCTTTCTCTTCCTAGGTGCTTTCATAATCTGCTGGACCCCAGGATTAGTCTTGCTGCTCCTCGATGTTTGCTGTCCCCAGTGCAACGTCCTGGCCTATGAAAAATTCTTCCTGCTCCTGGCGGAGTTCAACTCTGCCATGAACCCCATCATCTACTCCTACCGGGACAAGGAGATGAGTGCGACCTTCAAGCAGATCCTCTGCTGCCAGCGCAGCGAGAGCGCCAACGGCCCCACCGAAGGCTCAGACCGGTCGGCGTCCTCGCTCAACCACACCATCTTGGCTGGCGTCCACAGCAACGACCACTCCGTGGTGTAAAACCGCAACCAGCCGCGTGGCCGACGAAGAGCAGCGGGCTATGCCGTGGAGCAGGGTGGGTGCACAGCCTCGGGGAAGGTAACCTACTCACAAGGTTTTCTCAAACACTAATGGACTACAAGTGCTTCTTTTCCAGGGAGCCCAACATACCAGCGCAGTCTGCCCGGACCGCAAGACTGGCCATGCTGCAAGGCCTTTGATTTCTACTTTCAAAAAGTAGAAGGCATATGCCTTGTGGTAGAGGTCATCAATAGCCCATGGAAAGCCTCGCTGAGACTTTGTCAGACTTCGCTGCATCTCGGTGCCAGTCTGAATCAACTCTGATTAATTAAGCTTATACCTGCTTCACTGCATTTACATGTAGCCACTTAGTCTTTTTAAAAAGGGAGTAAAGGGGATAAAAGTATGCCTATCATTTAATAGACATGTAATATTTATCACCATCAGCATGCTTGTGATGAACATTTTCTGTGCAGGGAGTAAAACTGTGCTCTAGTCTTCGTATCCTTAGCCACAATGCCATAATTACAGTAAAAACAAAAGTGTTTTTTTTTCTAATACAAACAACAGGAAGATGATGGAAACTGACTCTTCTTACCTTCATTACTGGTGTTAGAGAGCATGCATGTTCTGTGTGTATGCAGATTATTTTAATTATTAAAAAAAAAAAAAAAAAAAGCTCATTGTAAAGTCTGCAGGAAAGTAGAAAAGCATAGACTGTATTCCAGTGTTTGTTTAGATTGTGAAATAAACAGTACTCTAGTCACAAAGTATTTAACGTTCTTCTTTGAAGTGCGGTATGAAATGTGTAACGTGAGGGGTCCCAAGCTTTTCATGGACAAGTTCTTAAAGTCGGACATATCCCCAAGGTTCTTAAAGGGCTACAGTCAGATTGGTAGATTTGAAAAGAAAAAAAAAAAAAAAAGAGTATTTATGGCATTGGAATGCTTTTCTTGTTCGTGGCAGAAAGCAAAGGGACTTTTAATGTGAAAAAATGTATACTTTTCATGGAACCTTTCTTGTCATTGAAAACAAAACACCTTTTGCATTTTTGGACTGAGAAATATTTGGAGAGTATCTTTTAAATTATGTACCCTTCATTTCAAAAGCAGTGGGCTACTAAGAACCAAGGTACAATTTTATTTTGTAAAGTCAGGACAACATAGGTAGTTGTCTATTTCAAATAACTGGACTGTGCTACATGTAATAGCCACACGTGGTTTTGAATAGCTAAGCTAACAGATGGATTTTTTTTATATATGGCTGTTTTAAAGAGAAATGCCACTTATGTGAATCTTGGTTACTAAGAAACAGTGACATTAATCAAAACTCCTGGACAGTGGTTAATGTGAGCAAAGATGGGATCTTGCTGATAAAAAACTTGGGACCTTTCTCTGGGAAACTGTTTCCTCCTAACAATGTAAAATATATCAACAGTAAATTCCTGGAGCCATTTTCCTTATTGTAATTTGCCTCTGTAACAAAAACAAACAAACAAACAAACAAACAAAAAACTAAAACAAAACAAAACAACATAACAAAACAAACAAAAATCAGAGGTGTATCCTTCAATGTACCATACTAGAATGTAACACAAGGGACAATATTCTCCCATTTGAGCGGGTAAGAAATGGAGGGGAGAAGATCAGCCCAACAAAAAGCAGAGTTTTTAGTATCTCTTGCTTGGAAGAGATGCTTGGATTTTATGCTTCCAAGCATGAAATTGCTTGGAAAAGGCAGTTCCTTGCTGAGGGAGGGAAGAGCAACAAGTGAGCAAAACCTGTCTCCACTGAATAAAGTGAAGTTTTGCCACTGCTTTCCATAAAACTGAAATTCACCTGTACTGTCAAGCCAAATTTGTGTGGACACAGTGGAAGATGGAGTGGGCACAGGGGATAAACACAACATTATCTGCCTGTTGACCAACGTATTGAATGTTGCACTTGCTTTGGACAAAACAGCTCTTTTCTGACTGTATTTGAGAGCAGGTAAAGGTTGATTTGGTTTTTATCTGCATAACTGTACTGAGAAAGAGAAGAACAAGCTGTATGAACTTTTACACTTAAAAGCATCTGCTTGCTAAGCCACTCATAAATTTTTCTTAGTGTCTGCGTGATGTTTGAGCTAGCGCAGGTAAGCAGAAGAAAGGAGAGGGTAAGAGTGCCTCCAAAGACAGGGGACATCTGTCTGAAAAACAGTTTCCTTTTCCTAAGAGTGCTCAAGGTTGCTTTATTCCCTGGATCCAAGGAGAGCACTTTTTACTCCCCCCAGCTTCCCCGCAAAAGAAGGACATCATGGACACTTTATTTTTTTTGTGGGGGGGTTGCCCTTTCCAAATGTCCTTTGTACTGCTGTTTGCATGCTCTTTACTGACTCTCTCCTTGATAGGGTGGGAGGATGTTAAGAAATAGCAGCAAATCATTCACCTTGGTTTACCATTCTGAAAGTGTGGTGGTTTTGGAGAAGCAGTGGGTGAATAATTTTAAGCCAGAGGTGCAATCATTCATGACACATGGGTGGATCCAGAGGCCCCTTGTGAAGATGGGTGCCCAAGGAGGCTTTTCTTTTCTCATTGTAGTTGTGACAGGTGGTAGTTGCTGCCCAGGTACATCGATCAGCCCTTCTTCATGGAGGCACTCAACAGTTCAAGAAGGTGGGCCTTTTGAACTCTTAGCAGCAGGTAAATTTCAGTTGTGGAGTAGATTAATCCAGGAGCACTTCTGGCAGCATGTGGCTTTTTTCTTCTAGAAGGTGAAGTGCAATGATTTAGATCAAAGGCAATAGGATGCAACCTGTTGTATGATTCCACTAGAGGAACTCAACGAGCATGTGGGTGCTGTTTAAAAATTTAATTAGTGTTTTGTTTTGTTGACATGATCTCCCTATATCCTCAAGAAATCTGATCTGTGGATGGAGTGTTTCTTTGCAAGCTAATGAAATTAAATCTGCTGTGAGCGAAGAGAATAAAAACCAGAGATTGGAATAGGATTCATTTGCTCTCTTCTTTAGAGTGGTTCACATGCCACTTGGTTTTGTCTCAGATTTTTTTTTAGCTTTTGCTTCTATGTCCAGATTTTCCAGCTTCATTGTGCAGTTGTAGAACTCACTTCTGCTATGTGAAAACATGGTGCAAAGCACTTACGGAAAAAAAATTGCTCCACTTACTTTTACTTATCTCAGATCCTTCAGAAGGTTTTAGAAGACTTCTTAAAATACCAATGATCCTCCTACAGTCATTAAAATTCTTCTATTGCTGGCTGCCTCTGTTCCAAGTAAATCCTCTTGAAGTTCAAATGTAATGATGTTTCTTTCAGCAGTGGTAGTGGTGGGGAATTGTGTATTAAAAGGAATATGGTTGATGAAATCATTTGTACGTCAAAGAAAATGTGTTTTTCCTACTTTGTTTTTTCAGTGGCAGCACAAGTCTGAAAACTTACTGAAAAGATTTCCTTTGAATGAAGGATTCTTAAGTAGAATTTTAACTCCCTCTTAGTATCACATTTAGTGAAGGCTGGGTGACCCACTGGTCCATAGAGCTGCTAATCACAGCATTTACATGAAAAGTTGAAAATACATTCAGTGTTTGACACACATTGCATTTCTTGTCAACCCCTTTTTTGCTCCATGTTCTCTGTGATCTCTTGGTAGCTTCAGGCTGGCTGCTAACTGGGATGTGCAAAGCTGGGCTGATAGGTGATACAGTGAGAAAGGATGCAAACACCCATAGCCTGTCTTTCCATCACTGTGAATCAAGCTGATGCAAAGCAGAGCTGGCAAAGGCATTTCTCTAGGGCATCATGTCCCCCCCGCACGAAGGTGTGGCCCTGTCCCCATTGCACCCTTTGTTCCTATGTGTCCCTTCTGACTGTGAGACAGGATGGAGATGGCAGAGGTCAGCCTTAAGGGACTGGCTCTTTTCCACCTGCTGCAGAAGTAACATAACCCAAATATATAGGCTTTTCCTTTCTGGTCCTCTTAAGGGCTTTCCTGTTGAGCAGTATGCAATTGCAAGCCTATGTGTCCTGCCCTTTCCAATTAGTTCTTGCCATTATCAGTCCATCTGTGCTGTACGTTCATGTCTGTATGGAGGGGCTTTGCAACTGCAATTTCATTTGCTCAGCCAAATTGCCCAGGCTCTACCTTTTGATTAGGAAGGCCATTTCCAATAGACAGATAGCTCAAAGAATATTAACTGTCACACCTGTCGGGCCATGCCTCCTCAAGAAAAAGTGCCCTTTTCTTTCTCCCATTTTCTTCTCTTAAAAGATTTTCCAATAAGTTAATCACCCAGCTCCAGTTTTCTAAGTCTATCAAGGAGAAAAAAAAGAGGTTGATATAAAAACAAACATGCAAACAAACAAACAAGTTATTAAAATATGCTGCTGTCTTCTGTGGTATATGGAAATACAACCACCTGATAAGCTGCCAGCATTTTAACAGGAGCCTCCATGAAATGTTCCCATTTTCTTGTGCTAAACTTCTTATAACCAAACATTTAGGTGGGAGACTCAGGAATCTGTTCATTTGTTTTTCTGTTTAAACAAGACCATGTTTGTAACTCACAAGTATGGAGAGAGCCAATGAGGTTTGGCAAACAATTTTGCTATTAAGTGCACTTACTGTAAATGTTTAGAGGTTGTATGTAGTACAATAAAGTATTTAGCATGTGTAATTCAGAGTGTGCAAGAAATGCCCTTCGTCATGAGAACTGGTATTTTGGATGGGGGGGGCAGGGTGGGGGAGGGGACAACAGGAATTATCCAAAAAGCATGTCTGTGTGGAGGCACAGGCTGGTCTGTTCCAGGAGATAGCATAGGGCTGAAACCCGGGGAGAATGAAGGGGCATGTTATTTCACATAAATCACTTAGTAATCTGTTCCTGATTCCTACTTGCCCACCTTCCTTTCAAGTCCACATTTTCACCTTTTAACCTCAGACCTCCTCTTGTTACTACATAGAAAAGTTTTCCTGCATGGAGAAAACAAACATGCTGCTTCTTTTCCCTCTCCCTCTTTCCTTTCTCCCTCTCCCGTCCCCCTTTTCCTTTTTCCTTCTCCCTTCACCTTCCCCTTTTCTTTTTTGCTGTGCATGGACATGTTTGTCCTAGAATGTGTCCCCTGTTTTGATTTAACCATAGAAGGTCATACATTGACTAAACCAAAGCCAGTTGGCTTATATATAGAAATGAATGTGTCCACACATGGATTTACAGCGCCGTAGGAAGAAAAACTGGGAAAAAAAAAAAAAAAAAAAAAAAAAAAAAAGTATTATTTCAATGCTGTTTGATCATAGCTGGTTTAAGATTATATTTTTATGATAATTCCTATTTCAAATTTTGAAGAGAAAAGGTCTTAGGAAAAGTGTTGATTAACCCCCTGCCTTTTGTTAGAGAAGCTAATCACCTATATACTGAGAGAAAAGTGTCTGCTTCAGCAAAATAACAGAAAATAAATTTGGTGCGATACTAATCACTCCAGCCATTATTAGGTACAAAAAAATATAAAAAGGGAAGAGATTGACTTTTTCCTTTCCCCAAACCCTAGTGATTCATGACTAATGCCCTGATGCTGGGCTTTCCATGACATGGCATATGATGTAAAGCAGCCCCATAGAGCTTGATTGCTGGACGTAAGGAGCAGAAAGCCAAAATACACAATCGCTAAATAAATCACGCCTCATGAAAATGCAATGCAATGCCTCTGGGATTTTTTGTTGTAAACCCTGGATCACCATTTGCTGGCAAAGTCAGACTGTTTATATGGCAATCTGTTAACATTAAATACACAACACGTGCAGTGACACCGGACACAGCTTCAGCACATAGTAGGCAGCATGCAGAGCAGGAGCTTGGAGAGCCAACATGGTTGGGATGACGATGCCCAGAACCTGCAGCACACTCCCCAGCATCGCATGGGCCACCCCCTCCATCCTGCTCTGTGCCTTTTGAGATCTGCCCCTTCAGGCCAGATGTGTCTGGGAGGACAGGACTGCTGCAGATGAGCTGGTCCCAGCAGGAGCAGATGCGAATCAGCATCTTCCACTCTTGTCTAAAGTCTTCCTCTTCTTACCTGCTTAGCCTTCATGTAGTTGTGGATCTACTACTCACTCCTCTAGTCGTTGCACACTCGACCCCTTGCCAAACTTTCTTGTTAACCCTCTAAGAAGCACTTCCAGTTCCTCATTCATATTGCACCTCCTCCAGGTAGCCTAAACCATCTTTGAATCAACCTGCAAGGTAAACATCAGGTAGTTTCCGCCACATACATTTTCTTTGCAATTCCCTGTGGGATGAGATGGAAATCGAGTTAAATCCAGGCAGTGGTCAGTTACAAGTGGTGTTCCCCAGGGCTCAGTACTGGGGCCAGTTCTGTTTAATACCTTTATCTATGATCTGGATGAAGGGACCAAGTGCACCCTCAGTAAGTTTGCAGATGATACCGAGTTGGGTGGGAGTGTTGATCTGCTGGAGGGTAGGCAGGCTCTACAGAGGGATCTGGACAGGCTGGATGGGTGGGCCAAGGCCAATGGTACGAGATTCAACAAGGCTCAGTGCTGGGTCCTGCACTTGGGTCACAACAACCCCACGCAACGCTACAGGCTTGGGGCAGTGTGGCTGGAAAGGTGCCTGGCAGGAAAGGACCTGGGGGTGCTGGTCAACAGCCAGCTGAATATGAGCCAGCAGTGTGCCCAGGTGGCCAAGAAGGCCAATGGCATCCTGGCTTGTGTCAGAAATAGTGTGGCCAGTGGGACTAGGGAAGCGATCGTCCCCCTGTACTTGGCACTGGTGAGGCCACACCTCGAATCCTGTGTTCAGTTTTGGGACCCTCACTCTAAGACAGACATTGAGGTGCTGGAGCACAACCATAGAAGAGCAACGAAGCTGGTGAAGGGTCTGGAGCACAGGTCTTGTGAGGAGCAGCTGATGGAACTGGGATTGTTCAGCCTGGAGAAAAGGAGGCTGGGGGGAGACCTTATTGCTCTCTACAACTACCTGAAAGGAGCTTGTAACAATGTTAGTGTTGGTCTCTTCTTACAAATAAGTGATGAGTAGAAACAGCCTCAAGCTGTGCCAGGGGAGGTTTCAGTGGGATATTAAGAAAAATTTCTTCACCAAAAGAATTGTTGATCTTTGGAACAGGCTTCCCAAGCAAGCGGTTGAGTCCTCATCACAAGGTTTAGTGGTGGACTTGTCAGTGCTAGGTTAATGGTTGGACTTGATGATCTTAAAGGTCTTTTCCAATCTCATCGGTTCTGTGATTCTATGAGAAGTAAATAAATACAATATATTGAGAACAGGGAAATTAAAAATTGTAGGGAAAGACAACATGGGAGAGGACCCCCTACCTTCTGTACAGGATTTGGTTTATGATCCTCTCAAAGGCTTTCTGGCAAGTTCAGGAAAGGATTTGGGGTTGTGGATTTTTTTCTATTGGAAAGAATAATGACCTTTTTTTTTTTTGTTTGTCTGATGGAAGACTGTTGTTTTAGGTGTATTTAATTTATTAAGAGCTCAAAAGGCCAACTGAAACAAGGAGAGGCCTTCCCATTTCCCACCCACACTCAACACAAAATTAAACTGTTTTTATAGAAATGGTGTTTTACTGCTAAAAGATTGAAGGATGCTTCAAGGACTGATATAGGTTATTTTTTTTCACTTTTTGTTTTTCTAAGGTTCATGATATCTAGATATTTTAATGCTTGTTCTGCCACAGATTTTGAAGTTTGTACATTCTTCTTGTCCTCAAGTGTCTCTTTGCAATCCTGCTTTTCCAAAATATGTAAACACTTCTTAGTTCAAGGGAGTTACTAAAAAATGTGCCTGCTTTGAGCTACTCCAGCTGCTATTGCCTTCCAGACCCCTTCTGCTCTTTGCTCACAATGAAGTCTGATTTTGAGACACCATTAGATGCTAGCAAGTGACAATTACGCTGTTTCGAAATTCTTGTCTCAGAGAAGATACCAATATCATATATATGTCCTTAC